ACGGCTGAAAGGGCGAGCATGTATGGTGTGACGGGGATTCGAACCCGCGACCCTCAGACTGCGAGTCGAGTGCCCTAACCACCTGGCCATGCGGGGCCCGGAGTATAGGATCTCTTCCAAATGGCCACAAAATCAGCAAACTGGGAGCGGAAGCAGAAATTTGGATTAGACAGAGGCATTTCACTGACATACATGATGAACAGTATGGGGCTAACTACTCCTCCTTGCTGGACAACTGCCTCCGGGGTAAAGTACTCCGAGAAGGTGCCCGGAACGTTAATTCTAGCTTTTCTGTTGTCTAGAAAATTGGAGATCTAGCGAATAATATCTCGCGGTAATTTAATTTTTGATATTTGGCATTTTAATCCGTTGTACCATAGAGTGTCAAATTCTTTCTCAACATCGAGAAAGCAGGCGACAGTGCACTCGTTTCAGTTAAAATTGTCTACTATTGTTTCTGTGAATCCTACCAGATGGTCTTTGGTTTTCCAGAATCCGTTCAGGTAGCGTGCTTCTTCTTCATCGGGATTTAGATCAGTGCGGACCTGGGAGGGTCTGGTACAAGTTTGACGTCTTCCTTCCTCTGCACTGGTGTTCTGGTTGAACTGTTCGAATGTTGAACGTTACACAAAAGAGGGCCCTGATTTCACAAAAGTTTATGGTATGACTTCCAAGTGGACTAGGAATATGATTGTTTGTTTGTTTGGAATTAAGCACAAAGCTACACAATGGTCTCTCTGTGCTCTGCCCACTACGGGTATCGAAACCCGGATTCTAGCGTTGTAAGTCCGCAGACATACCGCTGTGCCACTGGGGGGGGGGGGGCAGGAATATGAAAATTCGTGTTTCGCGGTCATTGAAGCCGTGGGTGCGCTATAAGATTAACGGTCAAACCGTAGAAATTGGCGTTAGTTGATGTTGACAAGCTGCCTTCTTTTTATTATTACATTTCAAAAATAGGGATTACTATGCATATATAGCCTTTTGTGTAATTTGCACGCAAATTCTGAAACAAACTTGTTTTTGTTCTCTTTTCCAAAAATGTTATTAATTAATTTAAGTTTCAAATTAATTCTACAATGTTAAAACTGATCTTACTCAGGTCACCATCTGCATACATTTCATCATAACTTATCTTGTTCTGTACATGTTTTCCCTTCCTTTAATTAACTTAAATTATTTAATTTACATATGTATATCAAAAATTTTCTTTCTTTGGCCAGAAAAATGTTTTGTTTCTTTGTACGAGATTAACAAAAAGAAAAGACGATTTTCTCCACGCACTGACACTTTGGTTATATTTCTAGGCATGTATAAAACAATGAACTTTACTTATTTGTTTGAAGTTGGCAGTAAGTGAATTTTACAATTGAGTGCAAAAATACTATTCTGGTTATAGAAGTAAATTAGTCAGCAAAGCTAGTTTTATACTCTTCTGGCTCTAGATGTAAATTAGTCAATAAAGCTGATTTTATACTATTCTGGATCTAGATGTAAATTAGTCAACAAAGCTGATTTTATACTATTCTGGTTCTAGATGAAAATTAGTCAACAAAGCTAGTTTTATACTATTCTGGCTCTAGATGTAAATTAGTCAACAAAGCTGATTTTATACTATTCTGGCTCTAGATGTAAATTAGTCAACAAAGCTGATTTTATACTATTCTGGCTCCAGATGTAAATTAATCAACAAAGCTGATTTTATACTATTCTGGATCTAGATGTAAATTAGTCAACAAAGCTAGTTTCATACTCTTCTGGCTTTAGATTTAAATTAGTCAACAAAGCTGATTTTATACTCT